GATGAGATCGACGACCCCTGCGACGAGGATGATCACGACGACGACGATGATCACCACGATGATCACCACAAGACGACCAAGAAGGGCGGTCATGACGACGATCATGACGAGACGACCAAGAAGGGCGGCCACGACCACGACAAGACCACCGAACATGATCACCCTCACGAGCCAACTGAAGAGCCGCCTCACGGTGAGTCCAGCAAGGGCCATCATGATGAACACCANAGACCACCGAGCATGATCACCCTCACGAGCCAACTGAAGAGCCGCCTCACGGTGAGTCCAGCAAGGGCCATCATGATGAACACCATGAGGATCATGATGAAAAGGAGGAGAAGAAGCTGCGCCTTCGAGGTCACCGTGAAGAAGGCNGCCAACTGAAGAGCCGCCTCACGGTGAGTCCAGCAAGGGCCATCATGATGAACACCATGAGGATCATGATGAAAAGGAGGAGAAGAAGCTGCGCCTTCGAGGTCACGGTGAAGAAGGTGGTGGTGGTGGTGAAAAGGAGGACCACAAGGATGATCACAAAGACGACGATGACCACAAAGATCACAAGGACGATAAGAAGAAGAAAAAGAAGGGCTGGCACTCGAGGGCCACCGTCGCCTACAAGTGCGCCGGCAAGAAGAAGTGGTGCGTCCACTACTTCGTCTGCCGCGCTAAACTCGACAACAAGATCGACAAGATCTTCCCCGAGGCAAAAGCGGACTTCAAGAAGGGCGACAAGGTCCCCCCAGAGGAGGAGAAGGAGATCGAGGAGGAGTGCAAGGAGAAGAAGAAGGAGGAGGAAAAGAAGGCCTGCATTGCCAAGGAGGAGAAGGAGTACTGGGAGAAGGCTCCCTACATACAGCTCGGTGAGGAGTGGGCCAAGGGGGACCGCTCGCGAGCGGGCAAGGATTCGGTAAGGAAGGCTTATCACTACGCTGATAAGGAGCTTATCAACTCCTATGACTTTTTTATCAACTCCTCCCCCCTTTCCAGGCCGGAGGCACCGTAGTCGTCGTGGGCATCATCGCCGCCGTCGTCCTCCTGGTCGCCGGCATCCTCCTCTACTTCTACTGCTGCGCCGGCGGTGGGCGTGGCGGGCGTGGCCATTCAAAAGGCAGCAGCGGAAGTAAGCGCGGCAGCAAGCGTGGCAGCAAACTGGGCGGCAAGAGTGGCAGGAAGAAGGGAAAGTCCTCCAAGTCGTCTGCCTTCAAGTCGGGCAAGTCGGGCAAATCAGGCAAGTCGGGCAAGTCGAAGCTGGGCGGCAGCAGCAGCAAGAAGAGCACCAAGAGCAAGAAGAGCGGCAAGAGCAGCATGAAGAGCAGCAAAAGCGGCAAGAAGAGCAGCGTCGCCAAAAGTGCCAAAAGTGGCAAGAGCGGAAAGAGCGGAAAGAAGGCCGTGAGCACCTCGAAGAAGTCGAGCAAGAAGTGAAGCTTAGAACTTTAAGTTCTAGAAAGCAGCTTTTCTGCTGGTTTCTTTCCGCCTCGCCGTCTTTTGCAGCTTTGCTGTTTTTCAGTTTCAATTTCAACATCTTTTTTCATTCATCTTTTTTCTCCCCATCCTCTTCCCAGCAAAAACGGCAATGTAGCATTTTTTTCTCCTTAAATGTGTTACCATTTTTCACCATTGTTTAAAGGTGACTAAAACTAAAATTGTTTGCCCCAACTCCTTTCCCCTTTACTCTACAGTAATCTCTTTCATTTTTACTTTTTTTTGTAATTTTTCAGCATTTTTCAAAAGTGAGGATTTAACTGAGTTTTCTTTCTGCTTACTGTTGCAGCGGTACAGCCTCATTCCAGCAGCTGTCCTCGGCAAAGAACCAACTGTTGATCTCTTCAGTGGTGATGGGAAAGGAAAGAGGTGAAGTTGAAGTTTGAAAGGTTGGGTTTTTTCTTATCCAAATCTTTCCTTTCCTGGCCACCTTCTTCATCTTTTTCTTTTGCTTCTTCTCCATCAGCTCACAGAGGTGACAGGCGAGGCGGAGGTTGTGCTGGACCTGCCCCTCGCTGACCACCTCGTAGTCCTCTTTCCAGCGAAAGTAGGACTCGTATTCAGTCTGGTTAGCTGTCAAACGACGCAAAATGGTTGCCAAATTCTTAGGGCTCATTTTGGTAGCATCCAAATAGGAGTGAGGTGGCAGAAGAGCCGAATAACTGGCCCCACCGAGCACTACCGGCAACATGTGGTACTGCAGAGCGTTGAAGAGCTTTTCGGTGACGTAGTCTCTGGTAAAAAAATGAAAAAAGATTAGATTTCAGCGATGCTTTTTAAAATGAAAAAACTACTTGCAAACAGCATTCTCAAAGCTGAGATAGAATCGGTACTGCTGCTCAATCTCTCTATAGCATTTGGGGCTGTGCTTTGGCACACAGGCACTGGCCTGCTGCTCTGCCGGACCACAGTAGCCAAGAATGTCCACGGAAATGTTGCCCCTTTTATCTTCTTCAGCAGCACTTTCCATCAATTGCTGAACGTACTCCTCTCGTCTACTGGCCGTGACGCAGTTGCTGACAAACCAGACGGCCTGTTTGCTCTTATTTTCAAAGGTCGGTTTTTCTGAGTAGAAAAGAACTTTTTCTTCTTTGTTTTGGGACTTCTTCGCCTTCTTTGGAATTACTTGCCCATAAGGCATGAACAAGGTAGCGTCAGAGCGGTAGTTGGCGACCAGGTCAAAGGTGATCGGTTTCTCATTAGCCGGATTCAGCTCAGGGAGCTGGTGGCTGAGCCAGGGCGGCTCGAGGTTGTAGAGAACCCAAAGTGGGCGTTGTGGGCTCGTTTGTTGAAGATCGGGATTGTTTGTTTGATCTTCAAATTCAACTTCTTCTTCAGGAAGATCCTTAGCCTCTACATCATTCCAGTGAAAGACGATCGTCTGAGCTAAATTGGCCAAAGTTCGATTAGAGGTGAAGAAACACCAAGGATACTGGCTGGCGCACATTTTGGGCTGATAAAGGTAATGTCTGCTGTTGTTGTTGGTGTTGTTGCCAAAATTTAAAGTGCTGGTCAGAGTGTCTAAATCTTTAAGAAGCTTTAAAGGGAGAAAACGAAGCTCACTGTTGCTTAGATTTTTAGATTTGCCTAGGTCCTCGAGAGAGATTTGGTTGTAGAAAGCAAGGTCCTCTTCGATGTAGCCATTTCCGAAGTAGGTCGTCCATATTAGCCCTAGCTGATAGTTTTCTGATTCTGAAATGCTAATAAGAAAAAAAATTAGTTTTCAGTCTAATTTAATCTTAATCTTACCTGGACTCAATGTTGTAGATTAAGTAGCGGAAGGTCGAGTAGATGTGACGAGTGAAAGAGGAGAGAAAAGCAGTTTCACTGCTGTTGTTGTTGACTTTGTTGTCGGAGTTGTTTTTGTTTGTCTCCAGTTGAAACTGCAGAAAAGTGTAGAAAAACAGCAGCAAAATGAGTAGAAGGTAGAAAAACAATCGAAGTGTGCAAAGCTTTCGGTGAGGAAGCGGATGAAAAAGCTTTGTTGAAGTTTTCATCTGCTTTTTCAAACTGAGTGTTGACATGTTTTGATTTGATTTTTCCTTATAAAAAACTTGATTTTATTTTTACGACTATTTTGATGACGTGTGCTGTTTTGCTAAACAGTGAAAAATCATGTTTCAATTCTTTTGTCCAAAGGAAAAAATGAAAAGTATTGTTTGGTTTTTTAGTAAAATTGTGCTAACTTTTTTTTATAAGCAGACGAGCTTTTGAAAGCATCAACTGTAAAACTGTTTTGGTCGACTGCCTGTCTATTTGCTTTTGCTGGCTGGTTTTGTGTTTGTAAAATGTCACTGAACAGGAACAAACTTCAGTCACCCTTCTCTATATTTTACATTTATTAAAATTTAAACAATTAAATTTAACGTATGTTAACTTCAATGTGCCGCAACGCAATTTTCAAATGGCAATTATAAATTGCTGGAAAACGTTTTGCCAAAAAAATACTTTTGCTACTTTTTAATTGAAAAAGACGGTCAAACTAGTAAACGAACAATTCCTCATCTTTTGCTTTTTGAACTCATTGTTCTTGAACAACTGCTTTTTCCACTTTCAACCGCATTTGACGTGAAAGTAGTGATAGTTGAAGCATTCGTCGGCTCATTCAGGCACTTGGTAGAAGGGAAAGTCTTCAAAGTGGTCAATTTGCGAGTGGTTTTCTTTGAGTTCTTGTTTTGCCGTCGCATGCAAAAACCGCCACAGGAGAGAATGGCAACGAGGATGAAAAGGCCAAAGAGGATGAACGCCCAGGAGGGAAAGAGGAAAGCGTTAGATTGATTTGCCATTTCATTTGATCCATTTTCTATAAACTTTTTCGGTTCTTTTCGGTAGTAGTACTCGGCTTCAAGCGCGGACAAAGTGCTGCTAATGATAGAAGTGGTGGTGGTGGTAGTGGTAGTAGTGCTATTGATTATCTTACGAATGGGTCCTTTAAAATAAGAGTTTTCCATCTTTTTACAGTTTACAAAAATTGCAAAAGCTTTTCTAGATTTTATTTTAAAAATTTTGTCATTTCTGAAAAAAGCAAATTCTAAATTCCTATTTGACCTACTGCGTAATTCTTTTTTGTTTTACCTACAAATTAGCGCAATGACAACAACAACTGAAATTACCACCAAACCGGACTAAAAAATAGCGAAAAAACTGCGGTCAATCACGATCACAATTGTCAGTCAAGCACTTTTTAGCTTCTGTTTTCCTTTCTTTAGTTGGGTGTCTGTTTGTTCACTGTTTGGTCAGCTCTCTATCTTTTTTTTGACACTGTGCTACACCTGCACTTGCACTTGTTCTCTCACGGTCGCTAATGGACAACGTCTCTTTCTCTCTCTCTCTCTTCTTTGCCTGCTAATCGAGGGGTAATCGAATTACACACAGAAAAGTAAGTGAGTCNCTGTGCTACACCTGCACTTGCACTTGTTCTCTCACGGTCGCTAATGGACAACGTCTCTTTCTCTCTCTCTCTCTTCTTTGCCTGCTAATCGAGGGGTAATCGAATTACACACAGAAAAGTAA